TTTTGCATTGTTTTTTTTTCCATCAAAACTTATTTCAAAGTGCTGCAACTTCTGAATGGATTGAGATAGAGTAAAAGGCTTTTCAGCGTTGGTTACTAGTTCCCCTCAGATCGACCTGAGGCCATTTTTAGCCTGTCACATGTCCAAAATTTTCTTGGCGATGAGGGGGACTGCCGCCCCTTCAACCCCCAAACAGTAGGGGGCACATCCCCCTTCTTGCAACCCCTTGATGCACCATTTTGATGGGGGCGGCACCGAAAAAGGGATCACTTTTTTAAAGCCATCAAAACACGTCTTATTGAGGTAAAAGGTTAAAGAAAATGTAGGCAAAGTATGAAAACATCCCTTCTTTTTAACTTTAAGCATATTTTGAATGAGGCCCAAATGGTCAAACAACTAATTAAAATGGGGTAGGATAACATTTTTATACATTTTTCAAACATTTTTACTTGTGTCATTGCTAGCTAAATGCTATTATTTGTTTAATAACAATGTTAAATAGGAAAACATTTTTTTCATATTTATAATATAATAGATAATTTTGAGATTCTTATTTCTGAAAAAAGAGCCCTTGTTTAGTTAAGAAGAAGCTCAATAACTCGTAAACCGTACGGTAGAATTTAAATTTTGCATACAGCTAGGTGTCCTTTAAGGTATGTAACTGACCTATGTCGTCAATTTTATAGTTCCTAATAGTGCCCATTAGGGGGGCTCATAATGTCCATTAGCTAGTTATTTAAGTGGCTTTTGTCGGCGGATTACGTTACCCAGTAAAGCAATATTACCTTTTCATCCTATTGGAACTACATCAAATGCGTATGCTGACACTACTGATCTAAGATTTCAATCACTGATGGTTTCTGGCATGTGCCTATAGGTAACGATAAAGTGATTACGATTAGAAAAAATGCTAACAATTGTATGAAGGCAAATTGCCGGTCCTATATAAAACACAGAATTACGAAATCAGACGTATACAATGTCCTTGTATGCAGGGCTGAAACGGGATTTAAATGCTTCCTCGTACTTTGCAGATGCTTATGCATAAAAAGGGTGTAACAACGTTTTGTTATGTAATGATTATACATTTACAATAAATGATGTCACCAAAGTATTACAATGTTACATGTACATTCAAAATGTTGGAATTGTGATTTTAAATAAAAATTATAAAGTAATTCCGCTAGTATGTCATGACCTTGCACTCTTTGGTCCATTAGTATTATCTGATTGAGCAAAAGACCAATGGAATACCCGATTACAACACAGCGGAAGCTACATGTGTAATATTAGATATCGACCATAATCTTCCTTATTTCCGGATTATTCCATTTTATTGTTTAAACTAATACGTTTTTTTTTTTAAAAATATATCGTATAGTTTTGTTGGTTGAAAAAAGTAGCACAGCATTAGATATTTGTTGTTTATTTATCATTTTCTATTCACACTGTTTAAATATTGTTTAATTTGTTAAGCAATACCTTGGAAACCTGGAGTGATTAAGTATTTTGAAAATATCAACTTTGATATAGACCTGATTTTACATTCTGAGATGTTTTTTTTTTACAAAAAAAAAGAACGAAAAACAATAGAAAACAAAGAAACAAATAACAAACCCACAAGATTAAATACAGTTTTTCAAGATTTATTGTTAAACAAAATGTATATGTTCATTATCATAAAACACGAGTGATTACAAATGAAAACGTTACAATTCTAAAAAAGGAATCTATATACAAAAAGAAATATATTATTTTGTAATTGTAAATTACATCAATTAATTAAGAGATTGATTTCAACACAATGAATTAGCAAATAATTTGAAAACTTGAAGATTATGCAAACATGTCTTCAAACAACTGAGACGTAGAACTATTAGAAATAATGTCACGTTAATTTATAAGCGTGAAGCAAACGTAGCGAGAAGTTTGGTGGCAAGCAATTTAATGTGCAATAGCTAGTTATCGTATACTTTTATTCCCTGACCTGCCGAATCGCGATTCCAATGCTGCAGATGTTAATGCACGAAAAAAAGGTACATAAACCCTCTATTTTGTATGGTAAGAGTATTACATTTACGATTAAATAATATCATTAAAATATAAAACGAATGGATATGCCAAATGTTGCAATTGTGATTTTAAATAAAAACTGAATATTCCAAGTCCACTTGTTTGTTCTAAAGTATCATCATCATCATAAGGTCACTGGAAACAAATGCATAAATTATGAAAATTGGAGCGAACATTATTCGTGATGATAATCGCCTTCGTGATCAACTTTAGATGATATTTGGTAAATATTTTTTTTCTTCATTTTTTTCATTGCTTTATCTTCTAAATGCTGTATATAAACTCTGAATTATGACTTTTCGTCGTTAAAAGTTTTTATGCAGTAAAGTAGTACCGGGTAAAGGCTTTAGACCTTATAAAAGCATATTTGATATAGACAATATTTTTAAAAGCACACACACACACGCACGCACGCACCAACGCACACACACACACACACACACACACACACACACACACACACACACATATACTGACGCAAAATCCGCAAACTGAAATACATTTACTAAGGACAAAAATAACAAAATATATATCATTCTCATGTAACAACTAGTGGTAACAAATTAAAATGTTATTACATTTATAAACAAAAAAGAAATCTAAATAAATAGAAATAAAACTCCCTGACGTAAAAGTAAGCTTCCATATTTTACTTTAGACAATTTAGACCAATGGTATCCTAATATTGTATAACCGAGTCTTTTCATATCTTATATTATCAATGTTCATTTGGCGCATACAGATCTCATTTCTTTCACTCTTTAAGTTTGCTAATAGCCATTTCTGTCTTTCTTTTGTTTTTTGCATCATTTTGTGTATGAATTTCTGTTTCTTTTCTAACCGTGTAACTTCAGATTTGCTCAGAAATATTGGATCATTTCTTAATATCACGCTGTCAATATGATTGTATGTAGTAGTTGATTTAATAGAGTTTAGGTACCGAAAACGATTTACATTTTTCACTGCTCCTTTCAATAAATTGAAAGAGCATCCATGGCATAAAGAAAATTCATATTCACACACAAAGTCTAGAAAACGTGGCTTTAAACCATTCAAATCAATCGGCATACTTTGAATTTTAATAAAATCCTTTTGGTCCATAAGCTCCACCAAAACAGTAATATCTTGAACATTTTGAACTACTGTCCTAAGAGTTCTTTCCAGATATTTCATTGTATTCCAAATATGTCGAAAATTGTAAGTTGAACAATCATTGTTTATGCCATCTTGTACTAATGAAATCATACTTTTACCGAAGGGTAATTTCAATGCATTTGATATATTTTTCAAAAAATGATACTCACTTTGCCAGGAAAGATACCCATTACTTGTACCGCTCCAAAGTTTTAGTTCATTAAGTATCTCTATGGTTTCACTTAAGCATCGGATAAATCTGCTACAGTTCGATATAATTTTACTTTTTAAAGAAGCATAGTACACCTTTTTTATCTCTAAATACTGTAGCATAAGTTTTTCAGTTAAGTGTAAGCCTTCTCTTGCAAACACGAGATTATGAATAAAAAACTCGTTAACAGTCAGAAAACACATTGTATAAAATTCTTTCAGACATTGATAGTTTTTAATAAGTGCTCTATCATGCATTGTTAACATTCCCCTTGACGTAATGCAACGGAAAGGATTATGTTTCCTCGTTTGTGGAAAGTTATTATAGATACTGAGTAACAGAAATTCTACAGCACTTCTCTCAGGGAAAATGTAAGCATTTTCCTTTGATAATAAAGATTTGACCGATGTCCTGCCAAACAATTCGGCAAAAAACATTGCAGTAAAATTATGAACGTTTCGACATAGTGTTATTTCACCCCCAAATAAATTCTTAACTGTTTCTATTGTTCTTGCCATCCCATTTATAGCGAAGAAATGTACTAAAGACAACCCCTTAGAATGGTTACTACAGAAGACATTTGCATTCAAATTCGATTTTCTGTTTCTAATGAAATACGATAAAAATTCATCAAGAAGTGAATAGGTAACCGAATGATCACTAGATATATATGTTTTAAACTTCGCAAATACTGTCATATGAAGTATATCAACAACAGAAACATGTTTAGTTACCAATAATAATTTCTTTTCCATTAAAACATCTGTAAGGTTTATAAAACCACCAATAATTGAGTAGTGAAGAAGGTTTAATCCATTTCTGGTACTGCACTTCCAATCCTTAATGTTTCTTTCTACAGCAAAGGTATTTTTGATAACATCAAACAATGTGTCATCGTAAGTCCAAGGAGCAGAGAATGCAAAATAATGCAAAGGAGAACGACTTAAAGGTTGCCCACAACTGAAAAGAAGCCTTGGATTGTCATTAGAAATTATCTTTAATGATTGTTGAAAAATGTGCTCACGTTTGTAACGTTTTGCCAAGAACATACCATGAATTATATGACTCTTGATAATTAAGGCCTCAATTAACGAGGTATTTGCAAAAGCACGATTCATTAAAAGAGCTTTCGACAAAAATGGGCTTTTAACAAGAATAATATGGAAGTGTTGTAAAAGAAATTCTTTGGTCTCCTCCTGAGTAAATAATTTTTGAATGTTGATTAAACATTTTTCCCATGGTATTAACGACCGTTGTATTTCCGCCGACTGTGTGTTTATGCTTTCATTATTGAATTGATTTAAAACAGAAGAAGAGTACAAACTCTCAACATTTGATGCATAATATAAAGTGTATTCGACTGGAGTTAACTTAAATTGATCTTTTGAATGAAGCATTTGTTTGTACTGCTTTGGTATGTTTTTCTGAAGATAATGGCGCAGTTTTTCGTGCCCACACCTTAAGATATAATGAAGTAAACTTTGCCCATTGCAATCAACATGTGATACATTTGTGCTCTTTAGTAAATATTTTTGACAAAGTAGGGTTAGATTATTTTGAGGAAAGTACGACCACTTCTTACTCTCGCACATGAGAGCATAATGCAATACACTCCTATTGCAATTATCTTTAAAATCTATTAAATTATCACTAAATGCATTAGTTAAAGCCCTTAAACTCGCCTCTGAACAGCTTATTGCTGCACAATGATAGGCCGTTGACTTATTTTTTGACTCTTCCTCAAAAGATGTCCTTCCAAACTTCAAGGACATATACTTGATAAAATCCGTACTACTGTGACTAGCTGCATAGTGTATTGGCTTATTGCCAGAACTATCTGCTATATTCCATTTCAGAGAGACGTCATTTTCAAAAATGTCAATCATTTTAACTCGGTTGTATTTAGCAATTAAATGGGCAAATGTTGCACCTTCTTGACAAATATCTTCCCCCTTCTCACCAATAATAGTACCAGAACCGGTGATGTCTTGACGAGATATTAATGAAGCAGAAGGGGAGCACTTATCTTTATTTGCTTTTTCTTTCATGAGATTAGTGGGCTGGCATCTTCCATACTTGATCGCAAGTAAGAAAGGTGTATAGCCATACGAATCAACACATTCTACTAAACGCGTCGGCATTTTTGCAATATATCCTGCGATACGTAAGTCACCAGACCGAATCGCATAATGAAGCGAAGTCTCTCGCAAGACAATCCACCATGTGTCCAAAGGTTTTATCGGATCGTCTAAAATATCGGAGTCGTCGCAATTACACGATTTCATTATTTTACGTAATTCCCTTTCAGCAGTTTTGTTAGATATGCAACTCGGTTTAAATCCTGAGTCTAGAATTTGCTTAACGATATTCAAATGTGAATTTCTTGTCGCAAAGTACAAACATTTTTCATCGATAGTATTTAATTTTCTAGACATAAATATTTTCAATATATCAATATTTCCCATCTCACAAGCTATATCAATTGGCCGCTGTCCAATAACGTTTTCATGATTTAAAGAAATCCCTGTCTCTTCAATCAAATACCTTGCAATTTCTGTAGATCTATGCTGTACTGCTATGTGAAGAAGTCCATAGCCAGAATAGAAAATTGTTTTTATCTCTTCTATATCTTTTTTTGAAATCGCGTAGATTTAACTTTGTATCACACTTCCTACAAGGATTCACTACAAAATCACAGTTTGCGCCTTTCCGCAGCAATAATTTTAGCTGTTTAAGATGCCCTTTCGCTGCTGCTAGAAATGCTGGACTTATCCCATTTTTGTCTATTATATCAACGTTGGAATGATGAAATAGAAGTAAATCAAGCGCTTCTTCAGACTCGGTCTTACTTATCAGATTGTGTACAACTTCTTCCTCTTTGAAAGACATCACCTTTTTCATATTGAATGAATGAAATGTCTTTCGCAGAGCCACAATTTTGGAGTTGCTTAGATGAATTACTAGTGCAATAATATCACCAGTACCATTGTTCTCAACCGCTCTAAGCAAGTGTTTTGAAATTAGCTCATGTCCCTTTGTAAGGGTAACTTTATACCTGCCAGGAGCTGAATAAACTAACCAACAGTACATTGCTTCATGGCGTAAAATTACGCCATCTTCAGCCTTTATAAAGTAAGAAAGTTGTTCAAATTCCCGTTCAAAGTCTTTATATGATATCTTGGTTGCCTCACTATTTATAAGTATGTCATATATATCATTTCTATTTTGAGGAGTTAAACTTGTACAAATAATTTCGAGAATAAGTCTGGCATTGCTGTAGGTATTACCTCCTTGAAATTGTCGATCAAAGTTAAGTTCATACATATCCTCCAATAAAAATGGTAGCTTAGGCAACTCGCCATTAAAATCAGGACTCTGCACATATTGCAGTGCATGAAAAATGTAAAGGAAGATGCCTTCACCATTTTCCAGTATTTTCTGTTTTATATCAGAATAAAATTTTTTTGACTTTTTATGGTAAATTTTTTCAATATACGTTTTGATATCTTGAATATTGTTTGAGGCGTTAGCTAAAAGATTTAATATCTCTAACTTTTTTAAAGACTTCAGTTGCACCATGTCTCTACTTGTTATGAGAAATTTGACCCACTTTGGAAAATATCTTAATCGTCTCGATATCAAATTTAAAATAAAATTTTCGTTTTTTGTTGAGTGAAAACATTCATCAAGAGCGTCTATTACCACAATCTTTGTAGAATATTCTGATGTCATATTTTTAAATGGAATTCTAAACGCCTGATCAAAGCACGCATCTAGCTCCTTAGCACATTTTTCATTGTCATATTAAATAGAGGAACTGGACATCATAGAAACAATATTGCCGTATTCTGGAATACTCATTGCTAATAACCCTACTAAACGCCTGATAAATCTCTCAGGTGACTGCGTGCTAGACACATCGTATTTACATATGTGAAATGCAGCTATGTGTTCTTTTAAACTTCTTCCCTTTTCACCCGGTCTGGCGCATAGCAAATTGGAAATTATGGCAGACTTTCCGTACCCGAATTCTGCAACAGATACGATACCGCTGCCAGATGGTTCATCTTGTAATAGTTTCCTCTCTAATATTTCAAACAACCACTCTCTGCCAACTAAAGTGTTAGTGACTCGTACATACTCTAGTTATGGTAAATCTTGCATCCATGGCAAACTATAGTTTTCGTCAACACATCCGTCTGTAAATAGTAAAACTCAACAATTAAATTACCAAATCGTAAATATTTAAACATTTCAATAACTGTCAGGTCAGAACTTATAACTGTTCTGTACTTATTCTTAACATATTTGCTTATTACCACTAACTTGTCTTACGAGCCGCTAAACAAATTTATGACCCCATGGAAAATTTAACCATCCATACTACCTAATCTGATAAGGGTAGATCGGCTTTTGTCGTGCAGACCAATATTACCAAAACTTTTACGATACTGTCATTCAAATTGTCAAATCCATTCTCTCCAACGGAAGTGCGGTGTCAAAGAGTTCTATTATCTTTATCTATATCACACAGAACAAACAAGATGGCTCAGTTCACAAAAAGTGATCACTGGGTCAAAATCAAGGTAAAATGTGATAAGGTTCAATTTTGTTAGAAGTCCCCTAGTCCTGCAAAAAATTTACACTCCAGCCCTTGTTGATTGGAAGGAGTCTTTTCAAAATTTTACCATACATTTTGTAATAGTATGTATTATATAGAGAAAACCCATGATCCGTGGAACCTGGCCCCTGGACTTTAATTTTAATAATCTTGATAGATGTCCATTAATAATTATATAATGTTCCATGCCAAATATCGGAGAGCTAGCCATTGTAGTTTACGAGAAAAAGATTTTGAAATCAGGTATCTATTTTGGTTGTCATGACACACTGTCTCAATGGAATTAAATTCTTTGAACATCTTGAGAAGAGTTTCATGCCAGGAACATTCCTGCCAAGTGAATGCAAATTTGACCTGGTGGTTTATGAGGAGATGTTGTTTTAAGAAAAATGTTGACGACGTACTTACGCACAACGACGAACGCCAGACAATACTCAACTACAAAAGTAGTGATCATGTGAGCTTAAATGTCAATGAGAGAGTTATCTTCATGCCAACTCCCTAATGTTTCGAGCAAACCCTAGTTTCGGGACAAAAGACATCGATATATGCAAAGCATTCTTGGAATTGAAACATAAAATAAATTCAAAAGTTACAATAATAGAACGTTAAGTCGGCTGTAAGCAATTATAAAGTAGGTACATTATTCACAGACGCTTGGGGTCAGAATCTGACTCCCAACGTGATACGCTCCTGTAAACATCTATCAAAGGTATTTTAGTATCTCAACACGAAATCTGACCCCCAATCGTCTGTGGCATTATTTGCAATACTAGTATTTACTAATTATCTTAAGCGTCAGTTAATTAAATGTTCTTACCTAGAAATGGAGAATGGTACCCTGTAAACGATTCGTGGTGCGGTACGAAATATTTCCATCCTAAAACCACAAGTAGTGCAAGTGTTAAACAATTTTTTGCTTTCCCAAACTTCGAATTGTCTGTTCTGTTTAACTCCCCTCTGTCTAACTCCCTTCTAAAAGATCTGTTTTCCTCAACTATATCTTCTAAGTAGTCACAAATTTTACTAAGTTTGCGTTCAAATGGAATTTGCGTTTCATTTAACACAGCTGTTATTCCCTCACGTATAGATTTGTAAATGGAAGAGAATAAGTCATCCTTATAAATATCATCAAGTTTGCTTAAATTTTCATGCACATTTATGTCATTTGCAATATTTGGATCTTTTATTAAATCTTTTAGAGCATCAAAAGCTTTGGCTTTTTCAATTTCAGTGACTTCAAAACTTGAATTGTGACATGTTTCATTTCTTGCAGCTCGAACGTTTTTAACTGTAGTTTCATTCAGTTGAAATTTTGTACATTGCTGCCAAATATGACACTGTGTTGATATATCTGAAAACAATACTGGACTGTTTTTTGTCCAGTCACCCGGCAGGAATACTTTGACAATGTTTTCATACGAGTCAGGCCATTTCCATGATTCCGTTTCTCCCAATTTACATTCTTTGATTTATGGTCTTTCGATAGTTCTTTTTTCCACTTTGAGCACGTTTCACACCATCTGAAAATGAAGTTGCATTGAATTCTAAACATTAGTTTTAAGTTATGCACCGATCAAGGAAAAGGAACAAAGGGCAATAACTCTACAAATACTGAAGATGGAGTTATGGTTATTGTCTACTGCACTTTCTCTCATTTCGCTTGACCATTGTATGAACTTGTATTAAATTCCAAGTTCTAGTTTTCAAGTTATGCACTGGACAAAAAAAGTTTTGTTTGTCTGTTTGTTTCATTTTACGCCTTTTTCCAACAGTATTTCATATAGGCGGTTAGTTTCCTAAACATCGTTCCTGGAGATTTACACCAGTACTAGACTACCTTCCTCTGCGCTAAACTACCAAAGCATCTCCCGGGGATCGAACCCACGCCAGAGAGGTAATTGGATTCGAAGTCATCGACTCTAACCGCTCGACCACGGAGGCGGTAACAAAGGGCATAGCTAGTTATCTGTAATGAGTCAAAATAGAGTTATGCTTCTTCTGCACTGCTGTTTATCTCACTGCCCTTGACCACTGTATGAAGTTTCATTGAATTCCAAACATTAATTTTCAAGTTATGCACTGGACATTTAAAAGTAACAATGGCAATAACTCTGTAATTAGTGAAGGTGGAGTTATGGTTCTTGTACACTGCACTTATTCTCAATGTGCTTGACCATTGTACAAAGTTATATTAAATTCCAACCATTAGTCTTCAAGTTATGGTCCGGACAAAAGAAAGAAATTGGAAAGTAACAAAGGGCAAGAACTCTGAAATTACTATAGATAGAGTTATGATTCTTGTGCACTGCACTTTGACCATTGTATGTAGTTGTTTTGAATTCAAACCAGTAGTTTTCAAGTTATGTTCCGGACAAGGAAAAGTAACAAAGGGCAATAACTATGTAATTAGTGAAGATGGAGTTATGGTTCTTGTACACTGCACTTTCTCTCAATGTGCTTGACCATTGTATGATGTTATATTGAATTCCAACCATTAGTCTCCAGGTTATGGTCCGGACAAAAGAAAGAAATGGAAAAGTAACAAAGGGCAAGAACTCTGAAATTACTTTAGATAGAGTTATGATTTCTTGTGCACTGCATTTCCCCTTATTGTGCTTGACCATTGTATGAAGTTGTTTTGAATTCCAACCAGTAGTTTTCAAGTTATGCTCCGGACAAGGAAAAGTAACAAAGGGCAATAACTCTGTTATTAGTGAAGAATGAGTAATGGTTCTTGTGCACTGCACTTCCTCTCAATGTGCTTAACTATTGTATGAAGTTATATTGAATTTCAACCATTAGTGTTCAAGTTATGGTCCGGACAAAAGAAAGAAATGGAAAAGTAACAAAGGGAAAGAACTCTGAAATTACTTTAGATAGAGTTATGATTTCTTGTGCACTGCACTTCCCCTTATTGTGCTTGACCATTGTATGAAGTTGTTTTGAATTCCAACCAGTAGTTTTCAAGTTATGCTCCGGACAAGGAAAAGTAACAAAGGGCTATAACTCTGTAATTAGTGAACTGCACGCACTTCCTCTCAATGTGCTTGACCATTGTATGAAGTTGTATTGAATTCCAACCATTAGTCTTCAAGTTATGCCCCGGATAAGGAAAATGCAACGGACGTCTGGACCGACCGACCGACCAACCGACCAACGGGTGACTCCTATATACCCCCCCCCCCCAAATTTCGTTTTTTGGGGTATAAGAAACAATGAAGGTATTGATGGTTCATAGCAAATTCAAACTATCAAAATTGTTAGTCATAAAATATTATAAACAAGATCAACAAGGAAAGGAGGTGTTCAATAAACGCAAACCTTACACGACCCAGCAACAAGAACCATATAAATCATATAAACCTTTTTTTTGTCATTTCTAAATGGTTTTGTATATAAACTATATATATATTGCAAATAAACTCATTCGGCCGAAGGCTGTTTAAATACAGTGACTTCTTGTAAAATGTACAGGGAAGAACTGAATATAAAAATGATTTTCATTGTTCATTTAAATATTACAAACTGAATCTGGGAATCTCATTGACCATTCTAAAATGAAATGTACAGGATAGTTCTTTAACCATCTCATTCACATGAAAATTCCGTAACACACATCAAAATCCGAACTTCAGTTTATGATGTACAATAAGTGTCCAATATATTACATGATTACCAATTTCACTGCAAGTGACCGACAACGAATCACACATGATTTCTGAGTCGGCGATTGGAGACAAAATTACTATTGATATCAATTGTCACGGAGAAATTACGCCCACCCGGTGATGTGTCTAATGATGTAAAATGTTTATAATTTTCATATTTTTATTGCATATAAATCAAGTATTTATTAATATAATTGCCAACAGACTGCGTAGATGTTTGTGTAAAAAAATGAATTCCCTTAGTACATTTTGAAACACATACATGTACATCTTACGGTGATCCTTTCTCAAAACAAATAACCATTGTTTTTAGATCACAGCATTGATTATTCTGTCAATTATAACAAAGTATTTTTACTCAAGTTGATATAAGGATAACTGAAGTGTTGTCATATCGACGTTATTCATAAGCTCACATGTACAGTGTTTGATTATATTTTGTCTTGCGTAGTGTTATACATGTAGTTGTCTAGGGTGTTGATATTACTTACATTGAAGAAAACCCTTACATCGGAAATACATTTTAAGCATTTTCTTTCATTGCATTCAACGCGTCGCGTTTTTCATTGCCCGGTTTCAACTATGGTTTGCTGTCCTTATTTCCTTTATATATCGGCAATACTTTTAAGTAGTTTTCAAAATTATTCATGTTTTTAAATAGAGCAAACGTTTTATTTTTATTTGATATTGTCACATCTGATGAATATTTTTGAATAAAATTATTTACAAAGATTTTTTTAATGATTTTCGCTATGCTATTGCTCGACAAGAATCTTTTCTGTAGTCACAGGTTAGAGTAGCCCGTATTGTCTAAAATGTTATTAATGTGTTTCATCCATTCAAATGTTTTAAATTTTTTGAATAAAGCATGACCTTGTTTTCAGTGATGTTAATTTTGTATTCTTCTGGGTTACATGTTTGTTCAAGAAAGATATTCCTATTTTGATTGTAATTTCGATAGATTACATAACATTTGCTTAAAATTTAAGAAAAATCAAATTTAATTTTTCTTTGACTTAAGACATCATGATATTATTAAATAATGGGTAACATAAAATTGCCCACATTATAGAACTTTGCTGTTAACATTTTGGCTAAGTCACAAGTGATATCTGTCCAATAGAGAGAGCATCAGATAAAAAATCCAAGGTCGCTGGTTCGACCACCGGACGAGGCGAAATTTCTCCGTAACAATGATTTCGTGAATTGAGACTAATAGTCATTTGTCTCCAATCGCTAACTCAGAAATCATAAGGCTATAATTTGAGCAATCTGGGTAGAAAATAGAAAAACACAGAATCTCTGAAGAAAGCCTAACACGGCAAAATTAAAAATGTTGCAATCTCGGTTTGATTGAGCCTGTTTATGGATGGTATTGGAAAGTGCAAGTTACCGTCCACGACCCCTAGTACCGGCTTAAGCGGAATTCAACATTTAACATGAACTGGTACAATTTGGAATTTTAAAACATCAGCAAATGTTTTCAAATGACGGGAAGCATGGAACCTTCAATGTGACACAGTAGTGCCATTCCACAAAAGGCGGCGTATGGTCCCCAAATGAAAGAATGTGTGTGCCCTAAACGAGAAAATAATGGGCGAAACTAAAAAAATGGAATTTTGAAAGGGGATCTGAGGTTATGAAGCTTGCATATCAAAGACAAGACGTCAAAATACTATTTAAAAAGTAGGCAACATATCCTAGGGTGATTATACAGATTTCAAGTAGGAATACTGGAACCACCAAAGTTCAAAAAGGCCAAATAGAAGAAACTAACAAGAGGGTCATGATGACATTGAGTCGCTCACCAGAAACAACTGTTTTTCAGTGTTGGAAATCATCCATTGTCAATATTTTCTAATATTAAATTTGAGCATAGAATATGTTTAAAAATGATTTGATGAAATGACATGACCTGGGGCATTAAAGCTTTAGCTTAAACGGGGCCAATCAAATTAATATGAGAAAACTTGATAAAAGACTACCTCAAAATGCTACAAATTTTGGTGATCATCTATCAACTATTTCAGTAGGAAATGTTGTTCAAAGGTGTTTCTATTTTTGGCTTTAGTGGCTCCTAAAAGTTGCCAATCAAATTAATATGAGCAAACTTGATAAAAGACTACCCATGATTGCTACGACAAAGTTTTGTGATCAGCCATCAATTAGTTCTGTAGAAATAGCCGTTTAAAGGTATTTCTATTTTTAGCTTTAGCGGCCCCTAAAAGGGGCCAATCAAATAAATATGAGCAAACTTGATAATAGACTACCCAAGAATGCTCCAGACAAAGTTTGGTGATCATCCATCAATTAGTTCTGTAGAAATAGACCTTAAAAGGTATTTCTATTTTTAGCTTTAGCGGCCCCTAAAAGGGGCCAATCAAATTAATATGAGCAAACTTGATAAAAGACTACCCAAGAATGCTACAGACAAAGTTTGGTGATCATCCATCAATTAGTTCTGTAGAAATAGACGTTTAAAGGTATTTCTATTTTTAGCTTTAGCGGTCCCTAAAAGGGGCCAATCAAATTAATATGAGCAAACTTGATAATAGACTACCCAAGAATGCTACAGACAAAGTTTAGTAATCAACCATCAATTTGTTCTGTAGAAATAGACCTTTAAAGGTATTTCTCCTCTACGGAGTAGTGGCGACATTTAGGGATCACTTCTCCGTCGTCTGTCCGTCCGTCACAAAACTTGTCCGGACTACTCCTCATAAACTGCTGGTGCAATTTTATCCAAACTTTACAGGAATGATTAGTACCAAGTCTAGTTGTGCATATTGTCAGCATTTTCCGGTTCAATGATTTATGTTAGAGTTACGGCCCTTTAATAATTTTTATTTTTAAAGTTTTTCCGGACTATTTCTCTTATACCACTAATGCAGTTTCAATGAAAATTTACAGGATTGATCTGTAGCTCAAGTTGTTGTGCATATTGCACGGGTTTTCCGGTTCAATGATTTTTGGCAGAGTTATGGCCCTTTGATAAAAAGGTGTTTTTTTCTGTGTGTTGCCAGATACACAAAAGCTTGTCCGGACTACTCCTCATAAACTACTGGTGCAATTTTATCCAAACTTTACAGGAATGATCAGTACCAAGTCTAGTTGTGCACTGTCCGTCTGTCTGTCCGTCTGTCACAAAACTTGTCCCAACATGAAATTGGCCATCATGAGGCGACACATGTGATCACTGATTGCTCTTGTTAGCTTTAGCGGTCCCTAAAAGGGGCCAATCAAATCAATATGAGCAAACTTGATAAAAGACTACGCAAGAATGCTACAGACAAAGTTTGGTGATCATCCATCAATCAGTTCTGTAGAAGAAGATATCTAAAGGTTTTTTTCTATTTTTAGCTCTACTGACCCCTAAAGGGGCCAATCAAATTAATATGAGCAAACTTGATAACAGACTACATAAGAATGCTACATATAAAGTTTGGTGACCATCCATTAATAAGTTCTGTAGAAATAGACCTTTAAAGGTATTTCTATTTATAGCTTTAGTAGCCCCTAAAAGGGTAAAATCAAATTAATATGAGCAAACTTGATAAAAGACTACCCAATAATGCAACAAAGTTTGGTAATCATCCATGAATTAGTTCTGTAGAAGAAGATAACTAACGGGTTTTCTATTTTTAGCTCTAAAAGGGGCCAATCAAATTAATATGAGCAAACTTGATTAAAGACTACCTAAGAATGCTACAGACAATGTTTGGTGATCATCCATCAATTAGTTCTGTAGAAATAGACCTTAAAAGTTATTTCTATTTTTAGCTTTAGCGGTCCCTATAAGAAGCCAATCAAATTTCAAAGTTTGGTAATCATCCATCAAAAAGTTCTGCAGAAATAGATGTTTAAAGGTATTTCTATTTTATTTCGACTTATTTTTTAAATAAGTAGAGGTATTGTTATAGTCCTGGCGGCGTTGCCGATCAAAAGTCCAAATTTTGCTTACTATTATTGGCTGTAACTTTGATATTTTTGAATGGATTTTCTTCAAACTTTAACATAATAATCTTCAAGGACAGCCCTTTAAAATAACCAGATAGACCTTGACCTTTACTCATAAATGACCTTGACTTTGAAGGTTAAACTATTGAAGTTTTCATTTTTTGGCTATTATTGGCCGTATCTTTGCTATTATTGAATGGATGGACTTCATATTATAACAGAATATTCTTAAGGACAAAACCTTCATGTTTACCAAACTCAAATTGACTTGGGCACTTTATGACCTTGACCTTGAAGTTAAATAACTGACTTTTCCCTGATTTGTGCATTACATGACCATATACATATATATTCGTATTTTCGTATTTTCTTTTTTTCTTTTTTTCTCTTCTGTAATACACATGCTGATATATATGGAAAGGATTCATACTTTAACAAAACTAATGTGACAAGACAGACTGATTAAATTTATAAAAAATAAGCATTAAGATTTTTTTCAAACATTTCTTTGTTTGCTTTTAGGAAAAGTAAAAAGTTGAGCGTTGCCCCATCCGGCGGTGGCTCTTGTTGAGTTACATTCAAGATAGGCGTCGTAGGCAATGAATTGATCACTTCAAAGAGGTCTTAAACTGTACCAACCCATCATCTCCAGCAGATTCTACACCAGTTACTGAAGTCAGTAACATCGATGCTAGCCCATAAATCTTTGATGAAGTACAGAAAGCCATAAAATCGCTATAGAATAATAAAGCTGCTGGAATTGACTCCATCAATGCAGAATTCATAATGGCTGACATCAACACCTCTATTTAAAAATTTCATAACATGTTTATAAGCATTTGGGAAAATGAAGTCATGCCTCCTGACTGAATTCCTTAAAGTAGAGACTTGGAGAATTGCGACAACTTGAGAGGGGTGAATTTACTGTTTGTACCAAGTAAAGTGTTTTGTAATATTGTTCTTACTTAAATTGATGATGCAGTTGACTTTAAGCTAAGAAAAGAACAAGCTGGCTTTAAAAAAGGACGTTGCTATAAGGACCAGATATTCGCGCTTCGTAACATCATTGAGTAAACTATAGAATGGAATATGCCTTCATTCATCAAATTCATTCTTATTTTCTCTATTTCATTGACTTTCAAAAGATTTTGACGGTGTCCACAGAGAGACCTTGTGGAAAATCCTTGCAGCCTATGGTATCCCATCGAAAATCACCACACTGTTTAAATTCTTTTACACAAACTTTGAATGTACTGTCATTCTTTGACATCTTATCTCCGAACGTTAGATCAGGTTTATAAGGCAATGCTGCATATTGTCACCAGTTTTATTTTTGATGACCATTGACTGGATTAATCAAAAAACCATCAGCACAAATCATGAAATCCAATGGTCAATGTTTAGTCAATTCGAAGATCTGGACTTTGCAGATGACCTTGCGGAAATGTTTACATCTAGGAAGTATTTTTCAAGAAAAAACAACATCCCTCAATAATTACTAGTATGCAGAACAGACTGTTCTAAAAATAGGCCCAAATTAGACCAAGGTGATGGCCATTAACACCAAACTCATTCACTGAGCACATCGCTATCAATCAAAAGAAAACCTTACAGACCTCGGACCGCCGGAGGAATACCATCCAATCAGAGTTGCAGGAGCAGGGATATAGCTAAGGACAAGTTGCAAATTGAGATATTGCAAAATCAGAGGGAAATAGAGGGATCTGATTATAGGCTTATGTCCCACTGGGGATGAAGAGGATAGGTGAGGTGTGGTGAATGAAATTCCCACATTTCGGTTTGAAATATTAAAGTGACCAATGAAAAAAATTCAAGGTTATTTTAGATGACCTTCCAACAAAAAATAAATCGTAAAGCAAAAAGGTTTTCGTGAAGGAAGCAACCGCTGTGATAATGAGTTTGCTTTAACCAATCAAAACTGTTTTGAAAATGACCCATCATGTAATTATATTTCATACAAAAATTCGTTTCAGACCATGATTATTTCATTTACACAACAATTACTTTTTTATGCACATATTTATTTTTATCTGATAAATATACATATTTGTCCATTTAAATAATGCTTCCTCATGGATATTTTAGAACACAATTTTAATTACATATTTATTTTGTTTCTGGATGAGTTTATTTTTTTCTATTATTTTGAACCTCATAAATATATTTTTGTACACAATTATTTATTGAGAACGTATGCATTTATTTTATTGGACAAAATTTATATACTTTTAAGTCACGAATTTAATTGGCATAACATAGTGCAACGTATGTCACGCCATGATACAGTAGACATACAATACAATTCAATAGAGGTGTATATAATGTAAAGTTATGTTGCTGCTAGGAAGCAAGAGCTAAAAATAGAGATCTCAAAGTTTAAACACACGTATAACTATCATAGAGTAATAATTATCTTAATGCTTAAAGTTCAGCATAAAATAGCGAAAAACAGAATCCCTAAAGAAAGCCCAACACGGCAAAATTGAAAAATGTTGCAGGCTCGGTTTGATTGAGCCTGTTCATGTACCGTACTTGAAAGTGCAAATCACCGTCCACGCCCCTAGCACCGTCTTAAGCAGAATTCAACATTTAAACACAAAAATGGTGAAATTTTGAATTTAGAAACATCCGCATTTCTCCGATAATATTTAAAATACGATCATTCGATTTTAGGTATACAAAATAGTACATTTACATACTTGTTAAATCTCAACTCATGGACAGTGCTGCACTTTGCTTGACAACGTGGGAGACCTGCCAACAATCTGTATATCTTTTGATGTAGCAGACGAAGTCTTTCTCGTGTTACAGGTTCCATTGTTCTACCCGTATGCATACATCCATATAAAACTCCAATGAAATCTTGACACTTGCTATTTTGACGTATTTCCTCCATTTTTATTTTTGCAACTACCTGTGTATGCAGTCATCTGCGATCACATAACTAATGTTTACATTTAAGACAAGTATCAAATATCTCTTACACTGAAGTCGACGACATAGTTTATGAAGATAAAATAAATGAAATAATTTTGCCAACATTGTATTACAATAAATACAAATTTATCGATCAGATGAGACAATTACACTGTACACAATCAAACTATAAGATATATATTATTAATACAACATCAACACGTTAACATTGAGGTGGATCGGAAAATCTTTCGGTAGTATTGGACGCATACATTGGGATTTATCGGCAAGGGGTTCATTGGACAGTCGCAGCTTTTTTTATAAAGGATAAATTGAATACCGGCCAAAAAGATCTATTTATTCAAGATAAAATTCTTTATTATACAAGTTAATTTGAATTAAATTACAGACTACGCTGATAATCATAGATCTAGCAAATGATTGAATTGCAAGTGGCTCGATCTATCTGACTTTATTAAAGAGCTTGTTATACCCTGTTATTTCTATAAGTATATATTTATACTGTGTTTCATTTGTTTTTTTTGTGTTTTGTTTTGTTTTGCGTTTTTGATCTTGTTTTAGTTTTCTATTTTTTTGTTTTCGTCCTTTTATTCGTTCTTTCTTTTGTTTTGCTTGTATTTTTTCTTGCATTATTTCTGTGGAAGTTAAAATTCTGTAAAAAGTCAGTTTGCTTTTTCATGCACCGCTCGACTTTCTTTCAGGCTTCGGAAGTTCAACAGCGACTCGACCTCTGTAACAGCAATGCTCTGATCTACAACCGTTTACTCATATTGCATGTCTGTTGAATTCATGATTGATTCTAGCACTTCCGTCGCTCTTACAGACTCCAATAGCATGGATTCTTTTTAATCTGTAACGCCCAAAACGACTGGTCGATCCTAAAATGTTAACATAATTCAACAAGTTATTTTTCAGATATGTACTAGTGCAAATCAGCTGCGAATCAATATTCTGACTTTTTCAATTTGTAATAAGAAAATAACACAATAGTTAAATATTTACGGAGTTGGTCTGAAACTAACGAGACGTATTACGAAATTGGCAATACATGTAAGATATGTAATTCAGAGTTTGGATCCAAGATTATAAGAAGACCGATTAAAAGACTGATTTTTGATATATGAACATTAATTCCGACATTATTATATAGAAGATTTATGAGTTTATGTTTATAAATTGCTTAATAAAAAATACAAAGCAAATTTTGAGTAAATATAATTACAGCTACACTAAATAAAATATAAAAACATATTTTTCCGTCGGTTTAAAGACCAAGCATTGTTTAGTTTCGTTGACATGTTTAACAGAATGGTTGTAAATCTCATTAAAAATTTGTTCATAAGTTATGATTTTAAAAGGAAATCCACGAACAATAAAGTTCGTATACGAAGTAGGGGGCGTCCGTGGCCGAGTGGTTAAGGTCGTTTACTTCAAACCACTTGCCCCTCACCGCTGTGGGTTCGAATCCCGCGACAGGGACTTTGGACTCTTTCATGTGAGGAAGCTATCCAGCTAGCTTACGGAACGTCGGTGGTTCTACTCAGGTGACCGTTCGTGCCTGAAATAATGCACGGAAGGGCACCTGAGGTCTTCCTCCGCCAGTAAAGCTGGAACGTCGCGATATGACCTATACTGTGTCGATGTGACGTAAAACCAAAAACAAAACAAAACAAAAAAAAAAATAACGAATTGTAGCTATTTTTTAATGAAATTTATTATATGTAGTTTTTAAATTAAATTTGAAAAAAAAAAATTCCTTTTTAAATTTGTTTGAAAATTAATCTTAACTTGTTTCTCAATATTTAATTGTTTTCAAAAACTTTATTTCTTGACCTTTTATTATAGATATACAGGGAAAAGACAAAAATGACACTTTAAATTAATACTAGTAGATATCTTACATTTTCTTCTTCCGGTACATTTGCAGACTAAATTTCATCAAGTCTTGGATTCACCAAAGTATCAGAACCAACAATAGATGCTTCTGCTGGTATTGAATCTAAATTTGGCACAGTCGTGGATTCAGGAGATCTGACGTCTGTATTCGACGTGTTAGAACCTTTTGAATAACCTGTTGGTTGAAATTCAGCAACTTGGAATGCATTTGACGGCATGCATGCGCTTTTAGGGATGGCGCTCATATCAACTTGAAATATGCCGCACAGCAAGGAGCCCTTTGCAATGTTGTGTTTGGTGAAAGTCCGTTCATACGCTTCCCTGAACAAATTTACACATTTACATACTACGTTGTTAGGAGATTTTGCCATGAACTCTGTGCATTGCCTGTTGTATTCCTTAGAAAACGGACCAGACCAAGAACAGTTTTATCAAGCGGGTTCAACCATTATGTATTATGGGATGGTAGGGCAAAGAGCGTTATGTTTTTTCAACTGCACATTCGATCTAATCTAAAGTTTCATGAGAGGTGTGCGAGTCTAGAATCAAAAATTAAGGTCTTTGCGGGCCGATGTTTAGCACAAACACATTTGTTAAACCATTCAGTCCCTAGAGATTATTTTTTCCATCCACTCTTTATTTTGATTATTTTAAGTCCACTTGTTAAATTGGGCCCAGCAGAAACGTTAAAACCATTCAAATATTTCTTGGTTTTACTCTTGACAATAACCATAGACCGGACATCACCTTCTGCACTGTTTATACAGGCAGCAACAATTACTGACTCTCCAGAGTTTCTAACCCTTCCTGGAATATTACGCATGCCTTTCCGAACAAGACCTTTTGTTGGCTTGTGAGTCAATGATACATATGTTTAATCCATTTTCCAAATACGTTCAGGGGTATCAGTTAAATTAAGTGACTAAACAGTATTGTGCAAAGCCTCAAAATATTTTGCAGCGGTTAATGGTAAAAGCATTTCACTCCAGACTGTTGATAAAGCTATTAGCGAGTCAAGTGCAAACTACCGTCCACGCCCCCTAGCACAAGCTTAAGCAGAATTCCACATTTAACATGAACTTGTACAATTTTGAATTTTGAAACATCCACAGATGTGTTCATATGGCGGTTATCATAGAACCTTCAGTGTGACACGTAAGTGCCATTCCATGAAAAGCGACATATGGTCCCCAAGTAAAAAATGCGTGTGCCCTATATAATGTCTATGGATTGTATAATACACAAAAGAAACAGCTCGTGAATCTTGATTGTATCTTTATTCTATTATTTCTTTGTTGTTAGAACAGTTAGTAAAACATGTGTTTTTACGCTGTATAAGAATTAACATATCATGAAAATTACATACTAAATAGGTTTAAGTCCACTAATAAAATATGGTCAAAGACCACTAAGATACAACATTCCTCCCAACCTTGAATGAAAATTGTCTTTACTATTTAGAATTATCCATATTTACTTTATAACTGACATTACAGAAAAAAATGTATATATATAAAAAATAATCCAGCAACTAAAAATTTACTTTAAGAAAAGAAAAACAAAGTTAAACAAATCTTCTATTATTAGATGCGAGAAAAGAAAAATTGTAACAACGATGAATGATTTCAAAACTGTGTTTCATCAAGTAACATAATTGACTAGTAAAGATATGTTTGACTAGGTTATATATATTCAAAACAGATCTAAAAGCCAAAATAAGCAATATGAATATATTTATTTAAAAACAAAATCTTTGAATTTTGGAGGCATTTTTGTCTGTCTTGGTGGGTTTCTACGCGGGACAAAAGGGTGAATGACAGGATTTGGTCGAGTAGCTGGCGGAGGCCCAATTGCTACAGGATCAGACTGTTGATCTGATTGACTTTGGACATCATCGACGTCGCTATCCTCCTCAATTGGACTCACTTCAACTTTTACCGGCTTGAAAAAGGATGAATTTCTGGTTATCTTGTTATTACCAGATTCAGCAGTTATCATACTTCCATATTTTTCAGTAACTACATAGGGTTTAGGAGAATATGGAGGAGACAATTTGTTTTCCCTTTTCTGTTTAACAAGAACTGTGTCACCAGGTGAGATGGTTGATTCACAGACATTTCTTTTTCTATCAGCATATATTTTCATTTTAGATTTACTTGTAAGGTCATTGTTTATTATCTTTGCTGAGGTGCTGACAGGAGTGATTTCATGACGGTTTACTTCGGGCATGCCAATATTCATTTTCCTTCCGGTCATAGCCTCAAAAGGAGAGACCTTGGTTGAGTTATGGGGAGTAGCCCGGTAATGTAATAGGAAACTTGCTAGTTCATTTTTCCAGTTCTTACCCTCAGAAACCATAGAACGGACAAATTTGTTAATGACTGCCATGAAGCGTTCAACAGCGCCATTGGCTTCTGGCCATAGAGGTGTAATACGCCTGTGCCTAAAACCACATAAACTTGCAAAATCTGCAAAATCTTGGCCTTGAAATGGTGGGCCATTATCACTTTTAACCACAGTTGGGTAGCCTTGACGACTAAATATAGATTGCAGTCTGGGAATGACTGTCTTTGCGGATGTAGAAGAAACTACTTCAACTTCAGGATATCGACTATATTCATCTAAAACCACAAGTAAATATTCACCAGATGGAAATGGCCCTGAAAAGTCAATAGCAATTTCAGACCAGGGTCCTGGGGGTAGGGGTGTTGGCTGTATTGGCTCACGCCGGGAAGGACCTGGGTAGGAGGCTTGGCATGGTATGCAGCTTTTTACCGCCTCTTCTACCATTTTATCAATACAAGGAAACCAGACCTTCTCACGGATGAGCTGCTTAGTCTTCACAATTCCTTGATGTGTATGATGTGCGATACTCACTACTTGTGCCTGTAATGAGGAAGGAACAACCAAACGATGGTCACGAAGAATTACTCCATCATATATGGAGTATTCATCTCTGAACCTTTCAAAGGGAGAAATATCTGGGTCACCATGCCATTTGCCTGATTGAATAGCAGACATTACCTTTTGTAATATCTTATCTTCCTTTGTAGCTGAACGTAC